CATGATACAGGCCCAATTACAAACTGTTAGCCATACATGATACAGGCCCAATTACAAACTGTTAGCCATACATGATACAGGCCCAATTACAAACTGTTAGCCATACATGATACAGGCCCAATTACAAACTGTTAGCCATACATGATACAGGCCCAATTACAAACTGTTAGCCATACATGATACAGGCCCAATTACAAACTGTTAGCCATACATGATACAGGCCCAATTACAAACTGTTAGCCATACATGATACAGGCCCAATTACAAACTGTTAGCCATACATGATACAGGCCCAATTACAAACTGTTAGCCATACATGATACAGGCCCAATTACAAATTGTTAGCCATACATGATACAGGCCCAATTACAAACTGTTAGCCATACATGATACAGGCCCAATTACAAACTGTTAGCCATACATGATACAGGCCCAATTACAAACTGTTAGCCATACATGATACAGGCCCAATTACAAACTGTTAGCCATACATGATACAGGCCAATTACAAACTGTTAGCCATACATGATACAGGCCCAATTACAAACTGTTAGCCATACATACATGATACAGGCCCAATTACAAACTGTTAGCCATACATGATACAGGCCCAATTACAAATTGTTAGCCATACATGATACAGGCCCAATTACAAATTGTTAGCCATACATGATACAGGCCCAATTACAAATTGTTAGCCATACATGATACAGGCCCAATTACAAATTGTTAGCCATACATGATACAGGCCCAATTACAAATTGTTAGCCATACATGATACAGGCCCAATTACAAATTGTTAGCCATACATGATACAGGCCCAATTACAAATTGTTAGCCATACATGATACAGGCCCAATTACAAATTGTTAGCCATACATGATACAGGCCCAATTACAAATTGTTAGCCATACATGATACAGGCCCCAAATACTTTTGTTCCAATTTAATGTTTGATTTGTGATTCTGTGAGAAATCTGTAGTGAAATGTTGGTTTGTAATTAGAGATTGCTTTCTGGGCAAAACAAATTTCCATTTGAATGAATGGTAGACTTTCCTTTGATGGCAGTGTCCTTAGGGTGTACTTTTTATTGTTTTACTACAAATTGACAAAAAAGAAAGAATTTCAAATTCTCTCCCTTTATGAGAGAACATTGCTACAAAAGTTGTAGCCTACACAGTTCTAAAGATGATGGAGATAATTATTAGCCATGTGTAGCTCCATATCAGATACTAACATTTAGTTTATAACATGTAGGGACATGTCGTGCTGGCAAGTATTTTATCTCTTAGCCTATTAATAACTTGCAAATTAACAAATTCATCCATCTTGTTTAAAGAGATGAAGTAAATCCCAGGAATAGCTGCTTGATTAGAATCACTTTTAAAGAACAACTAGAGGATTGACATTGACATATAAATTAAACCCCACAATGCTATTAATGGTGTGCGTTTTCATATTTCAAGGCAGAGATGCAACAGTTAGTTGCATGATGTTTTGATATTACTGGTGAGGTGACCCTCTTGGGAGACTAGCCACAGGAACCTGATGCCATTCCTATACACGGTGAGGCAGTCTGTCTCAGTCAATGAATGCCTTACACACAGCTAGCCCAGGAAATTAGTTTTCAAATATGATCTACCAAAATGCCAGAAGCTTATAGACAGAGAAATCAATAGAGACATAAATTTTGGTTAGTGTTTGTATAGAGCTAAGTATAGTGGTTGTCACTGGAGTTAGGGACAAAAAGCTATAGAGCTAAGTATTATGGTTGTCACTGGAGTTAGGGACACAAAGCTATAGAGCTAAGTATTAAGGTTGTCACTGGAGTTAGGGACACAAAGCTATAGAGCTAAGTATTAAGGTTGTCACTGGAGTTAGGGACACAAAGCTATAGAGCTAAGTATTATGGTTGTCACTGGAGTTAGGGACACAAAGCTATAGAGCTAAGTATTATGGTTGTCACTGGAGTTAGGGACACAAAGCTATAGAGCTAAGTATTAAGGTTGTCACTGGAGTTAGGGACACAAAGCTATAGAGCTAAGTATTAAGGTTGTCACTGGAGTTAGGGACAAAAAGCTGTAGAGCTAAGTATTATGGTTGTCACTGGAGTTAGGGACACAAAGCTATAGAGCTAAGTATTATGGTTGTCACTGGAGTTAGGGACACAAAGCTATAGAGCTAAGTATTATGGTTGTCACTGGAGTTAGGGACACAAAGCTATAGAGCTAAGTATTAAGGTTGTCACTGGAGTTAGGGACACAAAGCTATAGAGCTAAGTATTATGGTTGTCACTGGAGTTAGGGACACAAAGCTATAGAGCTAAGTATTATGGTTGTCACTGGAGTTAGGGACACAAAGCTATAGAGCTAAGTATTAAGGTTGTCACTGGAGTTAGGGACACAAAGCTATAGAGCTAAGTATTAAGGTTGTCACTGGAGTTAGGGACAAAAAGCTGTAGAGCTAAGTATTATGGTTGTCACTGGAGTTAGGGACACAAAGCTATAGAGCTAAGTATTATGGTTGTCACTGGAGTTAGGGACACAAAGCTATAGAGCTAAGTATTATGGTTGTCACTGGAGTTAGGAACACAAAGCTATAGAGCTAAGTATTATGGTTGTCACTGGAGTTAGGGACACAAAGCTGTAGAGCTAAGTATTATGGTTGTCACTGGAGTTAGGGACACAAAGCTGTAGAGCTAAGTATTATGGTTGTCACTTGAGGTAATGATACAAACCTATACAGCTTGATGGTATGGTTGTAACTTAAGTTTGTGACACAAATATGTAGCCTGATTTTGCTGTTTTTATTGTCCTGTGAACAGTCATTTTGAGGCGAGATCTTTTTGCAGTTGCTCGAGGCTACCTCACTGACAACATACAGGTGGCCAACATTCCCAGTAAAGATAAGGGTTCTTTTAATCTTCTCTCCCAGTTACATTAATGGTTGATTTCCAGACCAAACATTCCCAGTAAGGATATATAATGGTTGGTATTCTGCCCATACTTTCTTAGACCAGGAATATGGCTGTCCTTATCCTGTTTGATCCCTGTTAATATTTGGCACCGCTTTCAACCCAATTAATGGAGGTTTGATGTGCTCACACTCTGCCAGATGAATGTTTTTTATAGTCTGAACTCCCAGACAAGTTAATAGTTGGTCAAGCCACCAGGCTGCTGTGCCTTTATGTTTAATGTTACATGAAACTATTGCTGTATCAGCTTGTCACTTAGAGTTGTGTATATATTTAATTACAGTGTTGTGACCAGAGTGCTGTGCTGGCTGACTCTGTGGTAGCTAGCAGCAGACAAATGTGAAGTCTTCTAGCTTTTGGAATCTAGTTAGGCCCCTTAATAGGGATACCAACGCTTTTTTTCTGTCACATTAGGTTGTTAATCAATTCAGGGGTACTGATTTGATTTAGTGAGAAAGTATAGAGGATTGAAAAGGTCAGACTATTGGTAGTGAAGCCTGGTAATATCAAGGATTTCTGAGAAATGATTTTGTGAAGGAAGAAGAGCACTTGAAAAGTTGCTTAACAAGCTGAAGTGCTTGTGTGTGGATAAATCCTGGTCATAGTTTTGGCTCTTGATTGTTTATTAAATTTTCATGAAACTGCTGTTTAAATACAGAGATGTTTTTGCCTGTTATACAGCTGAAAATAAGGTGTTTCCCCTACTTAACATTGTTTTCTTTCTAAGATAAAGAAAAATCAGGAACACTTTTCCGAAGAAAATCAATATTTACTGAAATTTCTGTAAGATACAGTGAAAGGTGTTCTTTTTGTGTGGTTGTAATTTTTGCATTTTCACAGTTGTATTTCATTTGCAAAATGTAGATTCTGTGATAATTTAGTCCAAGATAGATAACATGTTTACTGTATCAACCGATTTTATCCCCCAAATGAGGTAAAAAGGACAATTGGAATTTACTGAGTTAATCGAAAACTGCAAATACAACTTTTGAAATATGATTTTAACTTACACAGGGAGGTAAGAATTTTCCAAAAAATATGGAATCTTGTAACCTATTTTGTGATATAATTAATTAATCTTAATTTTTCTGCACATCAGTAACACAATAAATCAATCTAATGAAATTTTCTATTTGTAACCCGTTTTGGCGGAACATATTATTTTTTTATTCATCCTTCCATATTTCCATTTGTCTTTGGGTCTACAGTGTAAAGTTACCCACAGTTAAGCAAGGATCATGCAACTTTGCTTACACATTGGTTATACTAAGACAATGTGCATTGTACCAAATCTAGAGCCGACAATTGCCTTTTTTTTACAGAGTTATTGCCCTTTGTTAAAATTTCTCATCTGGAATAGGACTTTTCATGCATTTTAAGAAGTACAATTATACTTAGTGTATATATTGGTTATATTTAGACCTTGTGCAGTGTACCAAAGTCAGGGTCCACAACCCTCTTAATAACAGAGTTATTGTCCTTTATTTAAATTTTGTTTCCAATGAAGTTGTTTTCAGGGAGCATTGATCAGTTTCACTGATCATCTTGTATCACTTTGCCTTTTATTGTCTTTATTTAGTGTTAACAGACATTATTTATTCTTTCTTATGTTACACATTTAAAGTCAGAATGTGAAAGATGTACCAAACACTTCATGTCTTAAAGATTATCGTGATCACATATATGGTACATTGTACAACAGTTTGTATCATACTCTTACTACCATTTGTATCATCTAATGCCTGGTCAGGATATTATAGTGGCAACTATAGAACTGACCACCATCATACAGACTGGTCATAATATTAATGCAATGAACCATAGAATTAGGGAACTCTTACAGTTTGTTCACCTTATCAGAACATGTTTGAAGGTAGGGAACACAAACAGGACTAAGAAAACATGATGTAATACTCATTTAGTATTTACAATACTTCAGGTACCTTTGTAAATAATACCTGTTTGTTTTATTTACAGCCCAATGACCAGGGAAACTAATGCTGGTGCTTCTGTCTGAAGATAAACATGAACAACCCTGTTCACCGACAGCGAATCAGAAAATGTGGTTGGTTGCGAAAGCAAGGTGGGATGGTGAAGACATGGCACCGTCGCTGGTTCTGTCTCAACGGTGACTGCCTCTTCTACTTCAGCAAAGAGGATGACCTAAGGGCACTTGGCTCCATCTTCCTCCCAGGCAACAGGGTGGTGGAGCATCCCTTTAACCCAGATGACCCGGAAAAGTTTCTACTGGAGATATTTCCAGGTACACATATGATTGTATATGCAATTTTTCCAACATAGATTTAATAGATTCTCAGAACTTTTTACTTTGTAGTGAAGGAAATAGACAAATTCTTTGCTTTCTTACCTACACTCTTCTTATCTGGTGAAAGATTTTGTATAATAAAGGAATCACTAAAATAGGATATTTGAACGCTGGAGGGTTACATCACTGCCAGTCCATACACTGGATTAATGTCAAAGTCATTCCTGTCCCGAAATAGGGTCATAGTTCAAAGTTCAAAGAGTGCACATAGATTCCTGTATCTTATTTCATTTCTTATGGCCTGAAGTAAAGTTAGTGTGTCCAAAGAATTCTTCACTAAATATGGGTGTATATCCCTCAATATTTTTGCTTTTAAGTGTTTAGAAAAGAACTTGAAGCTTTTAAGTTGTATCATGCCTTGACAAATTCATTGTGTAAGAGGATGACTTTTGACCTCAAAAGCAGACTTTCCCTGTTACTAAGTTTCAAACAGATTGAATCGATCAATTTTGTTGAGTTATTTCCTGATGTTTTTGTCTAGTAGTATTGAGATTTGAGAAGTGAAATAAGAAAATGAGTTAAAAAAAATCAGATAATGTATTGTGAGAGGTTTTGTTGCATTACAAACCATTGTTAGAAATACAAAGAATTCTCCTTTTTTACACGAAGTGTGGTTTGTTGTAAGGTATGACGATGATGTCTTTCAGATAAAAAGGGAAAACGTATGACAGGTGAGACTTGTTTGTACACATTGTTTTATTCGTGTCCAGGGTTTCACTAACTACCTTCCTGTAGCCATGCTTACGTTGAAGTCTTTTACACTTTTACTTAAGGCAGTTTTAGATAACTTCACCTAAAATCTGCCCACTATCCAAACAGTTCAAATAATGCTGTTATGAAAGTTTATTTCATTGCATGATCAACCTGAAGAAATAATCTGATTTTTTATTTTGTTTGCATATAATTTAACAAGTTTGATATTAGAATTAATTTATATGACTGTTACTTGCACATGGTATGCATGACAAGTTCAGTGGCTAAACACTGAAGCCATAACCGTCCTGTTCTAAAAGCATTTAACCTGACCATCTGACAAATATTTCATCTATGGAACAGCTTTTGTATTTCAGTTTTATCAACTCTGTTGTATGCTTTTATATACTTTCATTTTATCCCCTTTAATTAGATGAGAGTGAACTACTTGCTATTCCCCTATCAGTCCCCTACTAGTCCCTTACCAGTCCCCTACTACTCCCCTACCAGTCCCCTACTACTCCCCTACCAGTCCCCTACTACTCCCTTACCAGTCCCTTACTACTCCCCTACTAGCCCCCTACCAGTCCCTTACTACCCTACCAGTCCCCTACTTCTCCCCTACAACTCCCCTACTACTCCCCTGCCAGTCCCCTACTACTCCCTTACCAGTCCCCTACTACTCCCCTACTAGCCCCCTACCAGTCCCCTACTACTATCTTACCAGTCCCCTACTACTCCCTTACCAGTCCCCTACTACTCCCCTACCAGTCCCCTACTACTCTCCTACCGGTCCCCTACTTCTCCCCTACCAGTCCCCTACTACTCCCTTACCAGTCCCCTACTAATCCCTTACCAGTCCCCTACTACTCCCCTACCAGCCCCCTACTTCTCCCCTACCAGTCCCCTACTACTCCCTTACCAGCCCCCTACTACTCCCCTACCAGTCCCCTACTACTCCCCTACCAGTCCCCTACTAGTCCCTTACCAGTCCCATACTACTCCCCAAGCAGTCCCCTTCTACCCCTTTGCTAGTCCCTTACTACTCCCCTGCCAGCTCCCTACTACTCCCCTACCAGTCCCCTACTACTCCCTTACCAGCCCCCTACTAATGAAACTGAGATTTCTTTTCATTAAACCTACAGATAATGTGGCTTCATAATTACAAGTTGCAGGTCAACACAGGTCAAGTTTGAAAATCATATGTTTTATATCTTAACATAATGAAAATATACTACTATACATTTTGGAAACCTTTAACATTCAATGGTGGAAAATAGGTCACTGTCACTATAAATAAATACCTTATGTTATTATTCTATAGACTTTTATCTTATCTGGTTATCACAAAACTTGACAAGTGTGTGTTTTCCACAAAACTTAACGAGTATGTGTTTTACAAGAAAAGGTTATAGTTTCTATAAACTGAATCTGATCTCATTCTTTTACAGACTATATTTCTGCCATGCTTTCTGAAAGTTTAACATACTTGTTCACAAACACTTCTTGTACAAGTTCTCTCTCAAACTCTCATGAGTGAAAAACAAGTTCATTGTTGCTATCATCACTGTTCAGATTTTCTTTTACTCCATTATCTTGGATTTCACAAACATATTCACAAGCAGCAGACTGCTATGTTTAATTCTCTGAGATATATCATCAATCAATATTTTTATGATTTTCAACACCAAATTCATTTCAGATGCCATGGCACCATCATTCTGCTGGCTTTATTAAAATATGTCCCCACAATCTGTGGTGGGGGCATGTGTTGTTATCCATGTCATCATTATATCGTAAACCGAAATCCTCAGCAGTTCTGCATACATTTCTTAACAAAACCAATAACACTCAATAATTCCAAACTTCTCTTTGGTTGGTACTTGTTGTTGATGAAATGCTATAAACAGTTTCAAAACATCCCCTCTTTGACTGAGTTTGGGTTTGATATGAGTATGAAGTTTGCCATTATGTAAATAAAAACATTTCTGATCCTAGAGTTTGTGGTATCACCTCTGGTGTTTATAGTTTAGTTTGGACATGATGTAGACAAGTTCAGTTCATGATTTGTTAGTTTGAGGTCACAATGAAAATTCATTTCAGGTTCTGCCATCACTGCAGTCACCATTGTTCTCCATAACATCGCTTTTTAGCTTGCTTTGGACACAGGTTTGAAAACTTTGGATATGGAAATCTTTGGTCAAATATTTATAAATTTCACTGTCATTTAAAAGAACGTCACCATTCTTACAATGTTACTAGTGTGTGCAGATTTTGTCACAGATCTACATTAACTGTGTACTTGTCTAATACTAATAGCACTGCAGGTACCTCTAAATCTGGTGCCAGACTAAAGTCCTGTATACCAGACTCCAAAATCATAAACGTGTAAAATCAAATAAAATATCAAAATTTAATAGAATTATTCGAGACTAAATATTGTATGTTGAGATTGCCTTCCGATGAATTGGACTCTAAATCTCCAAATTTTCATGTCTGCAAACTAATCAACAGATAGACCTAGACAAGGATCATAGTACTATTGGATTTAACCATGATATCAAGTGCCGTTTTACATTTTTTAAAAACCGTCAAATTTGAGCAGCACAAAATTATCTAGGATTTTACAGTATAGTAGATTTCCCTCGGCAGGTCAGGGTACGAGGGTAATGTGAGTCTTGTTCTGTGTCAACAGACTCTTCCTTGCTCTGTGCTGATATAGTTTCCCTTGTCGATCTAGACATGCAGGGTACAAATAGGTCCATCTATTCTAGCTTGTGTAATTAAATTGGTAGTGCTGCTGTAAGCTCCATGTAACCTGTGTTTGGAGGAAATTAGAACATTATTTCATCTAAGGAACAACTATATGGAATTTAAGTTGAAAAAATACTGAAGTAGAAAGAAGATTAAAAATGTTTGGGTAGTGAGATGAATGTGTATTGCAAGAAAGTTACATTGGCTGACATATGTGGTCTGTCAACTGTGTGGGAGATAGGAGTGCTGGCAGTGACATCATCTCAGTGTCGCCAGTCTTATCGATGTTAACACCACTGGAGGTGTTAATGCAGTCTTTACAATTCCCATATGTACACAACTTCTAATGCTAATTAATTACATGAACTATCAGACAAGATTTATATGATATTGTAAACAAATTTGAAAATACAGTTAATTACGAAGATGATTTTTTTTAAAAGAATTTTTCCTGTGAATATTTTACATGTTGTTGTTTGAATTTCTTTAATCTAACCCATACTGATTAAACATTGTGGCTTCCAAAATTATAAGTAATCTGTACTTATAATTTATATTGGGCTGAAAACAAATTATTGTCGCATTGGCTAATATTGACTGTGAATGTTGTTAATGTGAAGCTCTGAAGTTCTTATCATTGGCCTGTCAACATGTTAATGTGTCTCCTCAGCTTCCATTCCCTTTTAAGTAATGAGTATGTCTCCTTGACAGCCTTCAAACATGTTAATTTGTCTCCATGACTACCATTGGCTTTTCAACATGTTAACTTGTCTTCCAGACTGCCATTGACCTTTCAACATGTCAACTTGTATATGCGACTATCACTGGCCTTTCAACCTGTTCACTTGTCTCCTTGATTGCCATTGGCCTTTCAACATGTTAACTTGTCTCCTTGATTGCCATTTGCCTATCAACATGTAAACTTGTCTACTCAATTGCCATTGGCCTTTCAACATGTAAACCTATCTACTCAATTGCCATTGGCCTTTCAACATGTAAACCTGTCTACTCACTTGACATTGGCCTTTCAACCTGTTAACTTGTCTCCTTGATTGCCATTGGCTTTTCAACCTGTTCAATTGTCTCCTTGATCGCCATTTGCCTTTCAACATGTTAACTCGACTACTCAATTGCCATTGGCCTTTTAGCATGTTAACTTGTCTCCTGGACTGCTGTTGGCCTTTTAGCATGTTAAGGTGTGTCTCTGACTGCCATTGATTGGCCTTTCAACATGTCAACATGTCTCCTCAACTGCCATTGGTCTCTGTTGGTTGTCATCAGTGTGATACATTACAGTACAATAGGGAGTGTTGTGTACAGCCAAACAGCACGGTTAGTTTGTAGTCAGTACTCACTGCCTCCCTTCACTTTTGTTGTATTTTTGTATATTTTTGTTATCTTGAGCATTTTTAGTAAACAGCATACTACTTACAGAATTAATTATTCTGGAAAACAGGTATATATATGTTAAAGAGAACTAGAGATTTACATTGCCCACATTGACATCTGAATATACTAGGTTTTTGCAATGATTCCATATCATTATTTTGTCATATGCCATCAACAAAACCTTTACATTGTGGATTCATTGTAGCATGGAATTTTTAAGTGTTGTTTATCTATTGACAAATCTCTTGATTACTATGCAATATTTTGATGAAATGTTAAGCATGCACTTTTGTGATATAATTCTCAGACCTCATTGTGGTGTCATTTGGTTTCTGCATGTGTTTTTTTTTAACTTATTCTTCAAAATTGATTAATGATACTTGATTTCAAGGGGATTGTTGTGGATAAAATTGATTCAGTTTTGGCATTGGAGTAAAGAAAATTTGTGAAACAAAACACATTATTACCGTTATACTGTATATCACTTAGATTTTGCAAAAAATTTTATTTTCCGTATTTACCTCTTGTGACATATTTGCATATACCTGATTTTGTGAATGGAAATTTGAAACAACTTTTAATTTGTGAATGATGGGCTATTAGATATATAGACTCCGGTATCGGTAACAGAACCAGCAAGGATGTTGTTGGAAATTATTTCTGTACAAAGAATTGTGAGGGATATCAATTGGCAATTGATTCACTTGGCGTATTAATCTATAGACATGATCATGTACACAGAAACAACCAGTAATTGCTATTGTGATTGAAGTTTTAAAAAAGATGACTTTATTATTTTGAAAACCTCTAGACTTAATTGTGTAGAGAGAGAAAA